TCGGTAAGGGGAAACCGGGGCTAAGTATCTGTTGAAGTTACAACTTCTCAGATAACTAATTGTTGTGACTGACTGTACAAATGTACATGATAGAGGCAGCCTTCCTCTACACAGAGAGAACGATTTGGTTGAATCAAATAAACGCTTCTTTGGAATAGTCTAAACGAATTTTTTGATTGATCAAATAAAATTTTATTTGACGCAACGAAAATATTTATTTGCGGCTTAGTTTCAAAGAAATATTTTTATTGTGTCAATCAAAAAATTTGTTTGGACTATTCCAAAGAAACGTTTATTTGATTCAACAAATTGTTCTCTCTGTGTATGTGTTAATGTCCGCCATGAATCCATTAATTGTATATTTTGTTTTGTAATAATCAAAATACAAACATGTAACAGCACAAGGCCATCTAGCCTTGGTATCTAGTCAAGTTGGCTAATATATAGCTCAGTGTGAGAAGGCAAAGTATAAAATATGTATCCTGATTAATAGGACTGGGTCTCTGCGAGGGACTTCTACAGCCCTCCTGCTGGCCCTTAATTAGCAACGCCAACTTTACCTCTGCTCATATGTTTGAACAATTTTATGAATAAAAATTGCTTCTATTATCCGAAACAGTATGTCATACACTTGCAAGAAACTTTTTTCTAATTAGTAACACGTCGCTTACTTTTATTTACTCACGACGGAGAATATTAATATAAAATTTCGAGAGGTTCAAAAATTTGCTTTGCTACTATTAAAATACTCAGTCTTTTCTATATTTTAACTTTAATATTATTTCGATTTGAGTGAAACTCAGGGAAAAGTATTAATGTTTTAAGTGGACCATTTCGCCATTTTGTATGTTCTCAAGATAAATACTAAAGAATGCACATGAATAACATACTCCGGGAGCTATCTAGATCTATATTTGGTTCCGAGTCGTTCTTGGACTCGATTCAAGATAGAAAGAGATCCTACCCGACTTTCAACCTCTCAAATATTAATTACTGGATCGCGTCGGAAATCGTGCAATCAGCTCCATTTGTGGGCAGACCGATGTAAATTAGTATTCCTCTCGAGGGGACTCGGGACAGCTGACCCATTCAGAGAGATTACCCTCCTGTCACAATATTAGCTCCTGAAACTCTCCTCGCCGAGACTCCTCTTCTCCTTTTTTTCTTTCTCTCTCTCTCTCTCTCTCGTGTTCTCCGTAACCTCCAAACTACTGGAGATATCCCCTTTTAAGTGCCCTGCTTCGTGTTTAATGAAGGGACGTGGGTGCGCGTTGGGAGAAATGGTCCGGGATGGGGTTAAACATTGAAACCGGCGGAATGAATCGAGGAGGGACGAAGAAGCGGCAGGTGATAACATCAGAATGTAATTGAAACTTTCGCGCTGCCACTCTGTCATTTTTCTGTCTGACATTCGGCGACGACAAGAACGACGACGACGACGTCGACGGCGACGGCGACGCCGACATCTGGATTCATTACTTATAGTCTGGCACCGCTCGGTTATTACGAAACTTACGGTGTCTCGGGATAGTAATTAAGGCGCCCTCTCGCTTCCATTCTTTCTCCGAACGACGTTGTACTAATTAAGCCGCGAGCGACGGAATCTTGAATGAAGCCCGAGCCGATTTCGAAGGAGAACGCTCGGAGCGTCGGAATCGTTTCGGCCGCGTCGAAGTGGATAAGTGTGCTTGCCGAGAGCTCGTTGGAAGTATGCGAACAGCTTTCAACAATCTTAAAATTACGCGATATTCATTATCCGTGTCATTAAATAGCGGATAAACTTTGCGATAAACGTTACGCTAACGTGACAAAGAATTACTCACGCGAGAAGCTCTACACGGAGAAAACTGTTATGGTTATTACAACCATGCGTTTTACAAAAAGAAATTTATATGAATTCTAGTTAAATAGATATATTCAAAATTGCTGTATTGTTATATATTTTTCCATAAAATCCTCATAGCCACAGTTTTTTATGATACGTAATGTTCAATTAGTATATTCTCATATATAGTTGCCTCAACCGAAACTGTCTTTCTGTGGTCTGCGGAACACGAATATTACGCTTGAGAGATCCATAGAGTTTGATTGTCATGCAGTGCCGAGAGTTCCGCTCAAACACATATAAACAGACAACAAAGAAGACTTCTAGAGTGTTATAATTGGGTAGTATTGTTATTAGATATTGTTATTACATATACAAATTAGTTCGTGGCTTTTTTTTATAAATCAATTAGAAATTTGTTGTGCGATCCCAAATTGTTCAACATGCTCTTATTGTGTTCAACAAAGATTTTTTTGCAACAGCTGACTTAATTCCTTGTCTTCAATTTTTTCCGGCGCTTCAAGATCGGAAAGATGCAAATTATATCATTTTGAAACTAAATTTCATTTTGCACCTAAATTTCTTTTTACGTAACTCTATTTGTAACTATTTTTTCTGCTCTATTTCCTTGTTCTGAAACTGTAACCATAACTAGTTCTATTTGATCTCAGATATGTATTTAAAATCTCATTTCAGATAAAGATAAAGAATTTTAATGACTTCGTAAGATATATTATGTGAATTTCGTCTATTTTGATAGCAAGCAAACTTCCGCAATACGATGAGCTTCCCCCGTTCCACTAATTAGAAGAACAAAGCTAGTCTAAGAGATGGAATTCGTATTCTTCTCAGTGCGCGGCATTATCTGTGTGTTCTGCCAATTATGGCGCGCTAAGCATAAAACTTAATTAATTAATAATTCGTTAACTATTGTTTTTATTAGAAAATGACAAAAGATTTTTCGTCTTAGTTTGACTTTTACTATCTGCCATTTCAGTACTTAGCGGTTGATACGGGATACTCTAAATATGACATTTTTATGTAAAATAACCTTTGTCTCCAACATCTAACTAAATTTTAATAAAATGTGCGAAAAGATAAAAACATGTGTGTTGAATGAAATGCAAAAGAGCACAAAACACTGTTTTATATGTTTTATTTGAGATATTAGTCAGTAGAGATATTAAAATTATAACTTATATATTTACACACAATACATATGTATTTATAAATTGTTATTCCTCTTAATTTACAAAAAATGCAGTAGAAATACATAATAGAATTTTTTAAAACATTTTGTTGTCCTCATTCAACAAATATCTGAAAAGTATCTGAAGTAAATCTAGATATATTTTCATAATAACTGTATCTGTATATAGTTATTCATTTATAACACTTATATCTGTGTGTTTAGTTATATTTTCCTTTTTTTATATATATATAAAGTATCTATTATTATTTCTGGTCATATAATTTTTATGTATGTATTTGTTACGGCATTGCAGATTATTATGGTTATTCTATAACCTTCTTGTACGCATAAACAAAAAATAGCATTAATATTTTGCTACGACAGCCAAATGCAATCATGCTTATCCCTAGCGTTTTCTCCACGTACTATATCTTGTATTTCACGATAGCTTACTCACGTCACTCCTTACGTCACGTATGTCGTAAATCTGGTGAATGTGTATAAGAACGACGTATCGAACGACAACGGTATATAGATTAAACTGACCACGTCGTGGATACTGTGTAATAATGGCATACATTAATGTCACAGCCTCGTTGCTGTACGATTAATCCACGAGCGTGTACTATGGCAAATAATTGTTACTATTACATCACAACGGTGATGGTGCGTCGTTGATAAATTCACTCGGTTCCTGCATAATGACTTTCGTCCGGATTTCGCGATTATTTTGAGTCCAATGTCGTTTATGCGGCGGACATAAGCTATAATCCGGAGCGTCCGTGTTGCATTTGTGCCCGTTCTATGTAACTCATGGCGCATCCTATGTTAATATAACATGTACATACGATAATCCAGCATTATCGCTTCGATGAGTACTCGATGAGTACGTATAAAATACTTTATATAAAATTACTCAAATAAATTTTTTACAATAGCTTCCTCGCTTCATGGTTACGATTATCGACTATTTTAAATTTATGATCAATCGTGTGTACATTATTTATTTTGGTATAAAAATTTTGGTATATATTATATGCAAAGAAATATGCATTAAATATATATATTTTTTATATACAAAGAGATACTTTCGCGTAAATTTTTGTGATAATATAATATTTTAAATATCTTCATGTAATATCATCATTTCTACTACACTGATATGCTGAATAACAGAGAGAGAGAGAGGGAGAGAGAGAGAGAGAGAGAGAGGGAGAGAATTTCAGAAACTTAAAAATTTTATAAAAATAAAAATGAAGAATTGATTGTGTGTGTAGGATGAAAACATTGTAAATTTAGGCACGGTCGCGGTAGATTTTCCATTAAACTCAAATATTATTTATATCTCGTTTATATAAATTTGTTATATAACTGCAGAATTATTAATGATATAACCGAAGCGTTCGACCTCCTTCGTTTTTGTATCGCATTTCTGTCAAATTTCAACGTGACCATCGGCTCGACAGAATTTCGCGCGTTCCACGATTTTTGATCGTTGTCGACGAAAACGACGGGGATCAACGTCGGAATGAGGTAGCGTGCGAAGGCGGCTATCGACGAAGAGATTAATCGCTCTCCGCGGGGGTCTCTCGTCATCGCGTTTTACAACAATCTGCATCGACGGGTTCGCCCTCGAAAATAATGTCCACGCGAGAACGCGCGATATCGCATTATCCATTCGGCATGACGCGCGTTCGTTCTATCGCGTCGTCGCTTTTTCCTGCCCGCGGCCTGAGGTGGTCGCATTTGCATCGGTGTACACATTGCACTCGAATCTATACCGACGAGTAAAACACTCGGCGATTCTACCGGACGGTAACTTATGCTCGGCGTGCCATTTGGCCGATCCACGTGTACACCATACGTGCGTCCCAGCGTGCCGTTTTGCCGCGAAATTGTCGCGTGTTAAAATCTGCGAATGCGATTTGTCATCCGACCCGGGGGCATTGTCGCGTCGTTCTAATAATAATTTCGCGGTTGCAGTGGCCTGCTCCACGGTGACGGTGACTAAGTGTCAGGCGGCTCTGCGCACGCTGCAAGCTTTCACTTTCTTCCGACCGACGTGCCTCTGCAGGGAGCCGCATGTCGATCCGGATTGCAACAGCTTCCAGAACTTCCTGTTTGACCACCCGTGCGTCTACGTCCTCAACAAAAAAGGTAAAAATACACATTGCCGCGATATTCACCTTCCGTTCCCTCCAGTATGCGTATTATTAGGTTGGCTCAGATTAAAAGATTTGTTAATTTTTCTACTAAGTTCTCTTGTAGGAACTCGAGTCGAAATTTTAGTCGTACTTTCGATCTGAATTTTCTAACGTCTGTATATTCTAAAGGATTATGTATATATTTAACACATATGAAAACTGAGATCTTAGCGTCAGTTTCTTGTTTTTGATAAATATAAAGTGTAACTTTAAAGAAAACCGAAATAATAATAATGGGGACTTTCGAAACCTCAAAAGCGCTGATCGGAAAAATTATCTATATTATTTATCACTTTCAACTAACTTTTGATTCCTAAAAGCTAATATATTATTGAAAAAACTCTCTCGATATTCAATCAAGAAATGGTTAATTAAACCAATATAAGCTCTTGTTGGTTTAATTAACCATTTTTTATTTCTGAAGGCTATTTTTTAAGTTTTATTTCATAACATGACTTTGTACTATTCTTAACCCTTATTTTATATTTTGGCAAAATTTAAATACAGAATTACAAAATGCATTAAATTTCAAGGGGTTGTTCCAATCCCTAAACGTGCAAAAGAACACATTAAAAATATGTTTCTTACATTTGCATCTCTTACATCTTTGACTACTTTATAACATATTTGAAGTTTAAAATCAAGGAGGGGCACTTCCATGTTTCTCTGTATAAGAAGGATGCGAGTAATTGCAATCGTGTTATCTCGGTGACTTTTCCAAACGACGCGGAGCGCAACCTCGACGATAGAGACTCCGCTTGTGCGTTTTCCTCCTTAAGGGAGGATTGACGAAACAAAAGCCTCGTGATATCTTTGACCTCGCCACCCTATATAACTTCGCTCCTACGGGCTTCATTGTTGATTTTCCCGAGGGCTCGCTCGTCCGCGCCGCCGACTCTTTTGAGCTTTTTCAAACGATTCACAGATAATTCCCGATGCGCTCCTTTTCATTCGCTCCATTCCCCCGTCTGTGTCCCTCGCTCGTCTTTTTTCCTTTTTTTTTTGCATTTTCTATCCTCCGTCGTGAAGAAAATTGTCGTCTCCGACCAAAAAAAGGAGAAAAAAGAAGAGGAAAAGAAAGAAAAAACAGAAAGAAAGGAAGAAAGAGAAACTCTTTGCCGTAAAGACGTCGACGGTTGGATACTTTCGGTTTTATTTGACGAATATTTGTCGCCTCGGCAGCTTCCAAAGAGATTTGTGGATTCAAAATTCGACCTAAGTCTGAAGCGGTCCGTTTCTCTTTCAATTTTTCCTTTTATTTTTACAAATCTCGTTCGATGATAAATGTGTCTGAGTGCCGGCCATCGAGTCATATAAACCGGCGACTACTCAACGATAGTCGGGCTAATCCGCAAGACACGCCAAGAGGCCGGGTCATGATCCGACGTAGTAATAAGTCGCGCAATTAGGTCGCTCCGGATCGCGGCTTAATTACATTTATCCTGCCAAAAGCCGGTCATACGGGAGCGTGGCGGATAATGGAAACCCCGCTGCGCGGTCGGGACCGGCTACGAAACCGGGAAGCTTCGGCACTTAATGAGATTAAATTTGCTCCCATGCCTCGAAAGAGGAAACGGAAGCTAGGGGCGAGCCCCGCGGCAAAAATAAGGTAGAAAAAAAAGAAAAATACCAGGCCGCGAGAACCACAGGCCAAATGTAGTACTCGTGTGTATGTCGCGCGATATACGGGTGAGTTTTTGCGAGGCTTCGAATGCACGGACGGTCTCGACTGTTTTTGGAGAGAATTCCGCGAGCTGTCACGGCGCGAATTTCATGGATATTATTATACAAAAGTCACTGAAGATTTCGCACAGCTATGCGCGCAGCAGAGTCTCTGTTGAGAACAGAGGAGAGGGGAGCTTTCCTTTTCTCCCAATCTCTCGTTTCTTCTACTTTACGGACCGTACGTGTATTTATTTCTCAACGTGAAACAAAACAAAAGTTGCACGGGGATAAAGCAGAAACGCGTTAGATCTTCCTACAGGGACGACAGGTCTGGATCGCCGCGTGCCCGGCGTGTGAGTTGCGGGTGAAAGGTAAAACAAACTCCGATAGGAAATGGCGATACAAATCGACCGCGAGAAGAGATATCCCCGGCTTATCATCGGCCAATCGCGTTTGATTTGATGGGCCGCGTGCGGAATAGAGTTCGAGAGGGAGTACGGAAAGAACATCTCGACGATAAAGTAAAAAGAGAATGCCGTCGGGGAGGAAGGTAAAAGAGCGCTTGGGTGTTTCTTCACTTCCTCGACAAAAGGCGAACGGAAGAGAAAAAGAGGAAGAGAGCGACACAAAGCGAAAAGCGGTATCGCTCTCGGGAAGAGAAATGCGCATCGATAATCGACCGCGAACAGACAGCTCCTAATAAGTGAGCAATCCCTATGACGCGAACGTTGTCGTGACAATCGATAAAACACGGGAAAAACACGTTTAGTAGTAAATAGAGAAGTTGTGGCCAAAGTTTGGAGAATGAAAATTGCTAAAGCAAAAATTAACAGATTAAAGGCCTATGAAAGCCATAACATATGAAGGTAATAACAATGATATTAATATATATGATATCGGAGCCTTACAATTAATTGACTCTTAACATACATAAATATACATAAACGTTTCGGTTCTTGCTTTGGATCTTCCTCAGTATGAGTATTTTTGTTTTATCAATTTGTAATCTTAGAGCTTATTTTATCAATTTGGCTTTAATGAAAATTGCGTATATGATTATCGCCGAGTAGGGGAGGTGGGTTTAGTTAGCCCACAGGCTATGTACAATTTGTACAGGTACAATCGGCCACGTGCTTTATTTGTATATTTATCGTGAAAAGAACAACAGAAATGAAATTGTACGAAAAATTGTGTGTAGATATTTTCCAGACTTCGTTTTGAATTTCCATGTGAGACGTATCGCGCCTGTGTGTGGCGACAATTCACACCAAATAACACGTGAAAAATTGTGTATTTACTCAACGCATTATCGGGTTTGCATTGCTTAATTAGGCTTTCGAATAGTTAATCGAAATCGGGATGGTATCGAACGTGTGTTAATCTGGGGTAACTAACTACCATAGCCGTGTTAGTTTGACCGCGATAGGTAAATGGCGTAATAATTTGCGTTAACGATTCAACATGGTCGCGGTTAATGAGATTTTGATGCGGATGATATCGCCGCTTGTTTTAAAATTAAGGAATTAAGAAAACTCACCGAATGATCGGCGATATCTTTCGTGTTAGGCCTACGGTGCGGGTTAATCTTTAACTTTTTCGCTGCTAAATATGTAGATATGCACTAATTCAGAATTGAACGTTTATTTGCGAAAAGCGTAAATTCGATACCTTGCAAAGTCGAAGGTCCTGTGTTTCAAACACAGTCAGCAATAATCACAGGTTAAGCAATAATCTTTTGTCAATCTAATAACATGATCTAATTCAATGAAAAACAAAATTTAAAATATATAACCAAATAATACATTATTTGGCTGAAAATCTAATTTTCTCTTCTTCAAATAATAGTGTTTTTTCATCTGAACAACATGATTTAATCGATTGAAACAATACATTATACATGATGTAAAATTTTGTCCTGATGTTTGAGTCCAATAAATCCGTCTCGAACAGATAGAAATATTGAGAATCCAAAGAAACTTTTCTCTCATTAGATATACGTATTAAATTAAACGTAAGCTTATTTTTTTTATTTGGAAGCTCCCGAATAAATTTTTCCGAAAAATACCGAATAATATAGTAACAATTTTAGTTTCATCTCTTTATTGGACTCACAAATATCTGCGACAAATGCTGCAAATTCGCATAGAAAGAAAAGATAGTCGCCTATTTTCTATCACTTTCTCCTGCTTTTTGTTGTATGATAAGAGCGCAGCGAAAGGGTTGTACGACAGGATTCTTGTAGAATCGCTCGCTCACTCGATAACTTGCTCGCTCATTTCGTCGTGTGGAATGTATCTTTGCAGACAAGGATCAGTTCTCGATAGACGCGTTGCCGACGTGCAATCATGCGCTCAACGTTTGCGGACGCGACAAGGTGTGTGCTCAGATATACAAGGAGTTCAAGACCAACTGCAAGATTCAAGAGGGCAAGTGCAACATGGAGAATCGGTGAGTGAGCGGACACACTCCGCTTTATTATATTACACTTACCACACCATTATCAATTCGACACTGCAGTGAATCTTCTTTCTCTTTGCCTACACACGGCGATATCGCGGAGATAAAGCGAGGCCGAATACATACGAGAGTAAATACGGCCATGGAATACTAAATTTTATATTATTGTAATGAAATGGCACGCGCGCGAGTGTGTGTTTACTCTGTAACGGGGAGAGATAGGAAGATTTAATTGAGAATCGGCTAGGAAAACGCGCCGGGACCGCGCGCACGAATTTATTTATCTTCTTTTATTCATCTTCGCGTCGTGCGTATTTACCGCGGCGTGCGTATTTGCAACAATGTCGTTACGTTGTTATAATACCGCGTATTTGTTTAATGTGGAAGTTTATACATTTGTATTGTCTGAACAAATATGAATGGAATATCTGATTTTATGCTGTCGCTGCGAAACGGTACACGTGAGGAGTCGTTTCGTGGCTGAGGATTTCGAAAAAGCGGATTTCACGATTAAACTTTTATTTCGTTACAAGCTCACGATAGAATTATATCGCGCTCGAAAGCCAGCCTTTACACCGTGACAAATGCAAATCGTATGATTTAACATTCGTGAATTCGTCGACGCTCGTCGGTTCTGATGTTATGAGAGAAATTTCCGTTGATTGGTGAATAATTCGCGCTCTTCCCTTCCTCCTTTTTTTATACACGATGTGTAAAATCTTCAGCTCTGTGCGAAGTTACTTCGGCGCGATTTAGCTATTCCCTGTAACTTTGCATTTCCTCCGTGTGACTCGCTGTTTTTCGCTTATGCAGTGTGGGTCATTTGTGGGCAGCATCACTTTTCTCCCCATGTACGATTAAAAGAAATCGGGGCAACGTTTTTTTCTTCGTTTAAGATCTCTGTTTTCTATTCAAAACATCGTTTAGCCCTCAATATTTGTAACTTTTTCCTTTTCTAGCAAAACACGAAGGAAAATGTAGAATTTTTCTATTTAAAAAAAAAAATTCGTAGCTTTTCAACACGTTGAGAGAAAAAATCCGTTTAGCATCACAAGGGATCAAAAAAAATTTTTTGGCAATTCTCGCCGAATAAAAAGATAATTATTTTGATAATTGGAAATTATTATTTCCCGAGCACTAAAAGAGAGAGAGAGAAAGAGAGAACTGAAAAAGAAAAACAAACTCAATTTTTATTTAAAATCGATAATTTAATCATACATATATAAAATAAATAATATTAAATAATAATTTAACCCGGGAGTGGACGCGTATCGGTCATTTCCCCGTACTTTTCGTTTTCTATTTATATCATCTAATCTATTGACATTATCGTATTTTCGCTTTTACGTAAATTTTCTTTGATGTTTTCTCATATAGCATGGAGAAGTAGACGGTGTAGATTTATTTCTATGTAAAATTTGATACGTTTTTAGCAGTCCGTCTAAAAAACCATAGCGCGTCTACTAACGGTAGTCTTTTATCTCTGCCGCGTCAGCGTCGCTCGATATACCGCCGAACGTCTATTGTCTTTCCGACATCGCAGTTGGACGGACGGTTCTCTCTTTTTTGTTGAATCAATAAAATTTTCAACAGCATAATTGCATAATTTTCAACGCGTAATTAGAGTATATATTCTTAATTTAATAGAGATATTATTAAAATTAATACTTGAATTATTGAAACAATACATAATGTGGTAAATACATAATATATTGCCATTAAACCAAGAAGATTTATTCTCTATTTCTAAATTTATCAAATAAATTTTTAAGTTTATTAAATCAATGTTTAAGTTAATCAAAATAAAACGAGAGAAACAAGAAATTCTTATTATATTTTATTAAACTAAAAGAATGTCATTTTCTACTAATGCAGTTAAAATAAAAATATTATGATTTTATTTTTAATATATTCACATATATATAATAAGTTTAATGTTTTCTAAACGTATTAGATATAGAAATGGTAAAGAGAAAAAAAGATGGGAAAAAGAAGAAATAGTGACGTAATAAAATTATTTCCTTCAATTATTATATTTTTTTAAATAATTGGATTAATAATTTATTAATTATTACTTAATTATTGCACATATATGTGCTTAAATATACTTCGGTCGAAATGACTGATACGCGTCCACTAACGTTGTTCCCGTTAACGCGCGCACTCCCGGTTTAATAATAAGTAAGATAGTGTGCCAAAAATTATAATTCTTCTGCACAATTCGGGTAAAATTATATACGATGGCTGTCGCAAACTGGCTGCCCGCATCTTGCGCAGAAATGTATAATTTTACTATTGTCTTCTAATTGCAAAAGAAAATCATCTCTTCCTTTGTGCAATTTGTTTTTCACTAGTTCCGTATGATTCGCAGGTCATTTAGAAACATTCGCAACTTTGCCTGCACTCAGTTTCGCAGTGAACTGACGAAGTCAGCTGTGCCCGCAGGCATAGACTCTCCTTATCGTCAAGTTTTTTATTAGCGAAATCCCAGGGCCATCTCTGATCCATTCAAATGCAACATTCGATTATAATTTTGATTATTGAATGATCCACGAGTCATACAAATAGTTAGAATACGCGTGGCAGAGTCAGTTATACTTGACTGAAATTAAAGTGAAGTGATCCGTCGCAAGAATTAGTCGCATTGACGCGACACTGCGACAAATAATCCACGTTAACGAGCGACGTTTCGGGCGGGGACGTTCGCGCGAAGACAAACGGCCGGCGCCGATGGGCGCGCGCGGTTAATTAATTGTTTGCATGTAATTAACTCGTAGTAACAAAGTGGGAGAATTGTCGCGCGGTCATCGACGGTAAATTACGTTAGCCGGCGTAGTTTTAAAAGTTGGCCGCGCGCGCTTCGCGCCGGGCTATCTCGTTTTATCTCGCCGCGCGGAATTTCCGCGGCTACTTTGTCCCGGTCCCATTAAAGCCCGAGATACGAGCCCCTCCAGTCTAGTATCGTAACTTCGCAGAGTTAACGCCGAGGTCGGAGCTTGTGAACTTTCGAGATCGACCGCGACGTACCTGGGAGCGGGCCTAAAGCTCTGCGACCTGTCAAACCGCGGACTGTCTGTTCGCCGGGTTTTGTCATCGGTTTTCGTAAAACCGCCGAGACACAGGACATATTTCACTATCGTTGAAGGGCGAAAATCACAGGCAAAAGTTAAATAATAACTTGGAACGCGTCACCGAAATTTGGCGACTCTTCTTCGCCGAGTCGTAATCTTGCTTCCACGTTAACCCTGCTAATTCCGTCGAAGCACTAACACTGAAAAAAATAGTTTCGCTAATTTAACAAAATATCAGTACCCGCAACAAATGGTCGGTAACATAGGACAGCAAACAATTCCGTTATGGAAACAAGTGATTTATTGCTTTCAATTTGCTGTTGTAGCAACGCTTCTGTAATGAATACAGATGTTGCTGCGCAGTTAATCCAACAAATCATAAATTTGATTTACTAGCAATGCAGATATTAGAAATGAAGAGGTTAGAAATGACGCAATTCAGCAAATCAATTGTATTGAAAGAAACAAAGAAATGTTTTTCTCCGCAAGAATGGGGGAAGAATTGAGAGGAAGAAATAGCAATGCATTATTATTACATAAATATCGGATCTATTTTTTCGAAACCACTCATTTTTTGTGTCGTAACATTTCACCTGCACACACATCAATTAACAACAGCTATCTCGTTCTAACTAGACAGTAGGCTTGGCAGCAACAATGGAGCTCGCACGGACTATTTAAATCTATTTAAGAAATCTATTTAACATTTCTCATAATAACCTACCATCTTTAAAAAAAATCTCTTATATTAAACTTTAAGAAGGATCTATTTATTTAACATTTATTTTTCTCAATAGTTTACCTGCAATTAATCTTTTCTAATCCTTATTTTCAATTAGTATATTAAATTAGTATATTCAATTAGTGTATTAATTTCGTAGCTCGATTAATATTTCTTTCAAATGAACAGTTTACTTCGTCAAATTTGAACGCATCGCGACAGTGGAAAATGATTTGCGCACGCCGCTTTAAAAAACTCGCGGCTGATACTTTCGCAAATACGAAGGACACGAGCAATATATCACTCGTTTTCCTCGAACGACAGTCCTCTCTCCGTTTCTGCCGTAAAGTCATTAACGAGAGCGCGCTCGTGCGCTCCACACGCGTGTACGCACTTTTAATTACGAGAATTTTGCGACTGCTGGAAGTTTACGAGCGATTTCTTCCTCGCTTTGCGTAACGACCTCGTATTTTATGTATCGTTTCTATCTTCTTTCGGCGCCAATCAGCCGAGCGACATCGTTATAACGATTGTTGAATTGAAGAATTGAAATCTCAATCTAATAAATTAGTTGATTACGCACGATTTTAATTGCTTTATCGCATATAAGCGTATTAGAAATATTAATTTATGCCAGTTTCGTTGTTGTTTTTAATTTTATTCTTTAAAAAATAATGCCGTAAAAGGATCAGAATTTGCCCATGAGGAAAATGTGTGAAATCGGGCTGTCTTTGTATTTTTAGGCCTGCTGAGCTTGAATATGAGGTATAAAATTGTCCAAATCGTTTATTTGCTAAAAGTATTTGCTAAAAAACGAGGCTTTTTTGTAAGGAAACTGCATTTGCACGAAGTTCCCCGGAATTTAGACTATTTTAAACTTCATATTTGAGCTCAGCAGGCCCAAAAATATAAAGGTAGCCCGATTTCACACATTTCCCTCATGGGCAAATTTTGGCTCTTTCACAGTATTGTTCTTTATTGCTACGTTGAATTTTTGCGCAAAAGATATAACAAAAATTGAGTTATTCCAAACTTTGTTATATATTTTTTTACACAAGAGCGATGCGAATGAAATCAATAAGAGAGGATACGCACACTAGATCGTCCACTTTGACGATCGCTGTCCGTTTCAATTGATTGGAAAATTAGCTGAATAATTAGTTAAACCGCTCTTTGATTTTCGCCAGCCGTCGCTGGCG